GTATAAACCAAATCCCGTACAACCATAATCTTCCATCGTAGCTAAGAAAAAGGAAAAATCAGGAAGCTGGTTGTTGCAAGGGGATAAATATGCTGGCAAAAAATGAGTCACCAGTACTCGAAGAGGTTTGAGAAGTTATTATTGTGTGGATAATGAGAAACATTAGCAGGAAGATAGTCTTATGACGTCCGGTTATTTGTGAAAAGGCTAGGCCAGTTGCATGACGATCCTGTTAAAGGAAAATGCCTGCAATGCGTACTGTTGTAATATTTGTGAATTAAGGCCAGCCAAAGGTTGGCTGAGAGATTTAAGAACCGTAGTGGCATACACAGTGTGATAAGGCTTGGTAAGGTGCCAGTTCGGACACAATTGCAGCTGCAAAATTATGTAAGTGAATTCAAAGGAGTACAAGGAGGCTGATGGGACTGAACTGAACAAGTGTTCAGTTATGTGATGAAACAGCCTCTTTTGCGATGAAATGCCAAGAGACCTACATACTCAGGAGGAAAAGGGACTGCAGGACACAAGCCTATGGAAAGGACAGGCTGACGCTCATGTTCTGTGCTAATGCTAGTGGGGATTTCAAAGTGAAGCCGTTACTAGAGTATCATTCTTAAAATCTCAGAGTGTTCAAAGAAAAAACAATGTTATGAAGAGTAAATTTTGTGTGTTTTGGAGATCTAATAATAGGGCATGAGTCACGAGGGAAATTTTCATCGAGTAGTTCAGTGAAGTGTTTGGCCCTAGTGTGAAGAATTACCTCCTGTAAACAATTGAATCTCAAAGATGGCCTCCTAGTAATGGACAATGCACTGCTCATCCTCCAAACTTGGATGGATCTAATTCTGAGGAGTTTGGCGTTCATTGCAGTAAAGTTCTTGCCCCCTGAATACCACTCCTCTCCTCCAGCCCATGGACCAGCAGGTCATTTCAAACTTTAAAAAACTCTACACCAAAGCAATGATTGAAAGGTGCTTTAATGTGACCTCAGACACTCACTTGACCCTAAGAGAGTTTTGGAAAGAAACACTTCAGTATCCTCCATAGCATAAAGCCTTATAGGTAAGTCTTGGGAGGGAAGTGACTACAGAGACTTTGAACTCTGCTTGGGAAAATTGTGGCCAGATTGTGTCGACGAGGGATTTTGGGGTTTGTGGCTGACCCTGATGAGTCTGTCAGTTGTGAACTCTATTGTGGCATTTGGGAGTTCCATGGGGTTGGATGTGAGTTTGGAGGATGTGGAAGAGTTGGTGGAGGACACAACGAAGAGAGCTCCACCACTGAGGAGCTGCAAGAGCTTTCAGCAGGAACAGCAACAGATTGCAGTTCAGATCTTGCTGCAGGAGGGAGGTGGAAGAGAGATGGGAAAGAAGGTGCTTTCTTCAGAAATTAAGAAGATTTTTGAAATGTGGGGTTAGGATGGAAAGATTTATGGAGAAACTCACCTGAGAAGGATTGTTGCAAGCCATATCGGCAACTTGTACAGTGACAGAAGTCTTCGCCCATTATAGGGAAGTTTAAAGAGACGCCAGAACGAAGCTCTTGCGACACTTTTTTTGACAGGGACAGGACTCCAGTGACTTCAAGCTGGTCCTAGGGCATTAAGAGACAGAGAAGAGAAGTAACCAGAAAAGACTTGGTACCTAAGGTTGTTGTGGAAGGGGATCCCCTTCCAAACCGTAAACTAATCCAAATATCTCTCCTCCAGTCTTTCCATTTACTAAGAAGAATCGCCAATAAAAGAGTAAGTGTTATGCTGTTAATGTTTCATTCATCATGTCCCATTGTATTGTTTATGTACTACTCTATAATTTTCATATAAAATTTTTTTTGTTTTAATACTTCAAGGTGGCAGGAACGGATTATTTTGTATTTACATTAATTTCTTATGGGGAAAAATTGATTCGATAATCGTCGCATCTCTGGAACGGATTAACGACGATAAACGAAGGGACCACTGTATTACATGATAAAAATTTCAGAAAGTAATCTCAGAATTGCACACTGGAGGTTTTCTAAAATTTGTTTGTCGCATCTCGCATGTTCATGAGAAGACAGAAAATGGCAGCAGTCCTGTCCAATTTATTTTTTATTTTTTCTGTATTATTATAGCATCTTTGGGAGAGCTAAAACCCAAAGGGTGCATACAGCCCCCGGACAGGGGAAAGGGAAATTTCAGGTTCAGCCCAAGGAAGGAGGAGCGGGTTAAATTTCTTGGATCAGAGCCCCTTTACCACACAAGGAACTTACCTTAGGGGGTCCTGCCGGAAAAAAAAACATTTAACAGGTTTCTGTTTCATACTCTAAGCATGATGGAACTGTCTCCCAAATCTATTACATACTGTCTCCAGTTGCAGCCTCTCTTTTGAGTAAGTATTAAAACTTAAATTTTTAACAGCCCAGTAAAAGGATGGGGGAACTGATTGTATGGTAATTCCAAATAAATGAAAAAAATGAAAAAAAAAGTGCAACTCCACCTTAAAATACATTTCCGTAAGTCAAAAGTCAATACCACTTTTTTCGATCCCTGCTCATCGGGGTTAAAAGGTGAAAAAATTGATGATAACTTTACATATGAAAATTTTAAAATTGTACGGCTAAACCGATAGCATCGTGTTTTTTTCGGTGATTTTAAAAGAGACCACCAGTCGGTATTCACATTCCCATATGGTAAAGTAATTTTAAAATTTAAGGTGTTAATGTACCTACTGTAATTACTGGACTTGTAAACAAGGCATCAATTTGGGTTTTTGTAACAACGGGATGGAGGGAAGGAGAGTAGGGGCCACCTGGAAAGGTTGGGGAAAAGGGGTTCTAGGAGGTTTTGTGTACTGGGGTCCTAAAAACCACAGATTGTGTGAGCATGTTACATCAGAGTGGTGCAGGTAAGGGGTTTTTATACTTGACGGGCTGTTAAGTAGACTAAGGAACTTCATGGGACCAGGGAAACCTTTGGGCCCAATTTGAGTCCTGGAGGGGGAAAGGGACAGTGCCTATTCTCTAAAGGGAAGGGGTGGAGTTGCAGTTTGGGGGGCCCATCTAAACTGTGAACGGTTGTTTCTGGCAAGATAAGTTTAAAGGGAATAATTAAAGTGTTTCCACTTTTTTGGGTCCCCTACCTGGGGAGTGTTAAAAAATCATTATGTATAAAAAAAAAAGAAAGGGGTTGTGTGGATGCTGGTTTTGGTGCTGGGGGGTTTAAGGGCCACCACAGATTATCTGAAAAATAGTGCCCGAAGCAGCAGGGGAATTTGGAAGGGAACAAGAGTTCCCTTTAAAAATAGAAATGAAATAAAAGTTTCCAAATTAGGTAATGTGGACCTCCAGGCCTTATCTTCAGCAGAGTCAGATGTCCAATTTCATTGGGGGTGGTGAAAAAAAGGAGATTATGTATGGTGTCCTGCCCCGTTCCCCAATAAATGTGTCAACAATGAGAGCAATCACCCCAAAGGAAGAGGAAAAAATTTCCCATCCCCCCTAATTGTAATACGGGGGTAGATCTAAATGTTCAACCCAAACACACTGGCATTAAAAATTTGTAAAGTTGGAGTCCTACTTTTTTTATATTGACATACGTTCTCTCCCTTCCACTCCTCCTTGGATTGTTAAAAGAATTGCTCTTTGGGAATAAAACACACAAAAATGTTTTAGTTTTTAAAAATTCCTTATTTAAGTCTTGGAGAGGGTTAAGTATGTGCTGCACTCTGAAGGAGGGCCGGGTTTTTTGCAGGTCAAAGGGTATTTGGGTTGTGATTCTGCAAATTTTGGAAAAAAATTATTGAATGAAGATGTAAATTGTTAATTTTTTGGGGGGGGGGGGTCACTCTACTTCATGAGAGAAGCTGGTGTTTAAAATTTTTTTTTTTATATCTGAATAGTAGTTAAGCTCAAGCCCACAATCCCCAGCCGCCAGCCCCCCCGGGGGGTTGTCCAACACTTCTATCCATCAGTAGCAAAAAAGCAGTAATAATCTCTTAAGCATTTTATTTTTTCAATATTTTGATCATTATTTTCATATCTTTTTGTGTGCTTCACACTTATGAGATGGATATTACATGGCACACTTTTATTTAGTAAAAAACTTTCCTTATGGCCAATAATATATGGTAATAGAGTAAAGATAAAGACAGTAAATCCAGGGAAACCTGGAAAGCAAATGACAACTCACTGCTTTTGTACCCAGTGCATTTTATTCATTGTTTCCAAAATTCATTAAATCCAGGTTATGCTGCTTTTGCTTTCCATCCAGTTAACTTGATGGATTTTCTTTTATTACATCATTAAGTTTATATGCAAGGAGCTGTTTTTCTACCTTACTCTTTTGAAATCCCAGTTATCCGGGTATACATCCCCTCCCAGGATCCACTTACAACAGTCAGCTAACATTTTTTACCAAATTTTACTGCTAAGAAAAACACAGCAACAGGTGTATGGAGATTGTTCATGTTCTCAGATTGTATCAATTTTTCCTTCAGTTGTGATTTAAGGCTAAATTAAATGGTAATAGAAAAATAGAAAATTTTGTCATAAGTGTTTTGTATATTGAATGTATGATCTACTACTCTGACATCTCAATAGAAACAGTTTTTTTTTTTTTAAAAAGCGGTCGTCTCCCCCCCAGGCAGGGGGGGCCCAAAAAAGAAAGAAAATTCCCCAAAAAAAAAATTTTCATCATCATTAAACACTTTCACCTCACCACATAATCACTGTTTTGCGAGGTGCTCAGAAAAACAGTTTAGAAGCATAAACATAAAAAGATAAAAAAACATACCCCTCCAAACGAAAAATATCCCAAAACCCCCCCTTTAGAGTGCAGGCATTTACTTCCCATTTCCAAAAACCAACCCGGGTATAAAAAAAATACCCGGGTTCCCCCTGAACCCCTTCACTAAATATTACCCTCCACGGGTACATACATTATATTATAGAGTACTTGTTTCTCTTTTCAAAACCTACATTATTTTGCCTGTATTTATACAAATATTTCTTGTATCTTTCAGACAGAATGATTTCTAGCGAGACCCTAACGGGATTGCCATTACTTGTTCTTGCTAAAAAAAAGACTTTTCCCCGAGTGCATGGATCCGGAATAAGCCTTTTTTAAACCCGTCACAGCCCTCAAGGCCAAAGAATTGTAGGGTGATCCCATTTTGCTTTAGGGGAAAACTTTTAATCCCCAAAGGACAGAGAATACTTTTTAAATAAGATTTTTTAAAAAGGATGAGAGATTGAGATAAGTTTCAGAAAATTGAATGCTTTTGAATGTTTCTTTAAGTGGATTTCCCCCAGGGGGGCAGAGCCCAAAGGGGAATGGGGGGAGAAAAAAGGAAAAATACCTGGCCTTTTGGTATTGGTATTGCCTGGTGTCAGGGAGTGCCAGCTTCCCAGTTCAAAATTTCTGTAAATACAGTAAAGGCCCCCCACTTATACGGCGGGTTAATTTCCAGGCAAACCCCATTAAAAAATCGCCAAAAAGTGGAACCCCCTTTTTTTCCCATTATAAAGATATAAATGCTAGAAACAATTTACACAAAGAAATAAATTTTGCAGTAAAAACTAAGCTTTAAAAAGTGATGCCCCTTCCTTTTGGGGAGATTCTGAAGAAAGTTGCAGAGATTGGGGGTGAATTTGGTAGGGTGTGAAAAAAGAAGAAAATTAAAGGTGTACAAAAGAGTAAGGTTAGGGAAAAAAAAAATTTGGGAAATGAAAGATGGATATCAGATTGGAGGGAAAAGGTATGGAGGGGGGAATGTATTCAGATTTTGGGAGGGGACGTGCAGCGGAGGGGTTCTATGAAAGATGAGGTGAATCATAAATTGGGGGGAAAAGGGTGAGTGGTGCATTGGGAGTCTGTGGAGACAAAACTTTGCCCTTGGAGGCAAAGGGGAATGTTAGATAAATTTTTACCACCTCTTTTATGGGGGTGAAGCATGGGTGATGAAATGTTTCAGCGAGGGGAAGGCGGAGGCAGTGGGGATGTCATGCGAGGGGAATGTGTGGTGTGAATAAACAAATTTGTATTTGGAAGTAGGAGAGGGGCGGGATTACCAAAACTGTTGTCCAGAGGGGTGAGGAAGGGTTTTTAGGTGGTTCACTGTAGAGAGAATGGAGGAAAAAGAAGACTTCAAGAGTTATCAGTCTTAGTGGAAGGAAGGGGGGTAGGGGGCGGCCTGAAAGGTTTTAGGGAGGGGGGGAAAGGAGGTTTTTTGTGCGAGGGGGTTGGACTTCCCCAGGGAAAGCGTGAGGGTTTGATAGGATGAATGGAGACAATGGTTTTTAAAAACTTTACGGTGTGTTAGTGTAGCAAAGTAAAATTTATGAAGGGGTTCAGGGAAACTGGCAGCCGGACTTGAGTCCCTGGGGAGGGGAAATACAGTGCCGCACCTGAAGGGGGGGTGTAAAAATTTTCAGTTTAAAAACTGTAGTTAAAGCACCCTTCTGGCAAGACATGATGAGTGAAAGATGTGAAAGTTTTTTTTTTTTCGGGCCACCCTGCCTTTGGGGGAAACGGGCCATGTGATAATAAAAATAAAAATTTTAATGTTCCTCAGAGTGATTATTATTTAGTGTTATTATTATTTAGAGTGAAATGCCTTGCAGGAATGGTTTTTTAAAACTTTTGAGTGTAAAAAGAAAGCCTGTAGTTTTTTTACATGATGGTAGGATTCCTGGAGTTTTTGTCTGTCTCATAAAAATGCAAGATTACAAAATAGTCTTGACCTTTTTACTTACACATAGTCACACTAACATCATGTACAAAAGTTTATTTATACACACTATTTTTTTCTTTGATTTTATCTTAAAAGGTTTTTTGTTTTTTATTACTTTTCCTTTTATATCCATGGGGAAAAAGGGTAAGAATCTTTTCCTCCGAAACCTGCGTTTTAAAAGTCAACTAAAACTGGGGAAAAATGGGCTTTGAACCCTTTTTTCCTGTAAAGTTACTAAAAAAATAAAAGAAAATTTCAAAGTATGATGTCTGAATGTGCGTGGATGTGTGCAAATGATAAGAAAGAGAGGTTTTGTGGGTGTTATGAAAAGAACTGGATGTCCTGGCTTTAAGTGAAACAAAGCTGAAGGGGGGGGGAGGTTTCAGTGGGGAGAAAAAATGGGATTAGGTCAGGAGTTTTAAATAGTTAGAGTTAAAGAAGGGGAGGCAATAATGTTGAAGGATAAGCTATGGGAGGAAAAAAGGTAAAAAAAAAAGTATTTAATTAAGGATTTTTGTGGAGTAAAAGAAGGGTTGGGTTGAAAAGTGGGTTATAGTAAGCGTATATGCACCTGGAAAAGAGAAGTGTAGAGGGGAAAAGAGAGATTTTTGGGAAAGTTGAGTGAAAGCGGGGGGTTTTAACCAAGTTGAGGGGACTTGTGGGGTTTGGGGATTTCAATGCTAAAGTGGGTAAAATGTTGTGGAGGGAGTAGTAGGTAAAACTGGGGGCCCGGGGAAAGAAAATGGGAGCCTTTAATTGGTAGGTAGCAATAGGTTTGGTAAAAAAATACATATTTTAGAAAAAAGGAAAAAAAATATACAAGGTGTGATATAGCACTAATGAAAGTAGTTTTTTAATTTTGTATTGGGGTAAAAGTTGATGGGGAGGCTCCAGGGGTGTACTAGTTTATAAGGGGGAACTGATATATGGGATCATTATTTTTTTGTGGGTACAGTTGAGTAAAGGGAGTGGACAAGAGGGAAAAGGGGAACAACAAGTAAGAGAGAGGGGAAAGTGTATAAATTATGGAAGGAGGAAGTTAGGGGAATTTAAAAAAACATTGGGAAAAAAAGGTGGGGTTCAAAATGAGTATGGGGGGTTGAAGAGGGTTGGAATAGTTTTTTAAAACCCTTGACTGTCGCAGCCGTATATTACGTCTTCGAGGTAGTTTTGACGTTTTTCAGGGACCCCCCCAAACCGATTTTAATCCGTCAAAGGGGTAATTGTTTTTGCGAAAAAACAGTATTGAAAAATTTTCCCCAAAGAAATAATGGAATAAAATTAAACCGTGCAAAACACCCAAAAGTAGAAAAAAATTTTTTTTTTTCCACATAAATTTTAATTTTATACACACAAACTGAAAAAAGGGATGCACAAATTACATGCACTTACTTTTATTTAAGACTGGGGATGATTGAGGGGTGGGAGGAGGGAGAGAGAGTGTTAGGGGTTTGAAGGGGGGAATCCCCTTCCCCTTTAAAACTTGAGGTTCGATCCTTTTCGGGGTTTACTTCCCTTCTTTTTTTTAATGCCCCTAGGACCCGCTTTTAGAGTCACTGACTTCTTTCGCACAACTATCTGTCCATGTGGGCCCGTTCCCCCTCGTTCCTTTTTGACTTTCCCTAAAGTTTTCACAACATGTCAGTGTAAAATCACCAGCACGGGTTGCAATAGTTTGGGGGTGATTTTCATCAAAAAAGGTTTGCACTTTCAAGCCACTTTTCACACATTTCCTTTTTCTTTGGTAGGAAAATTCTTCAATTTTTTCTCCCCCTCTGAACCATTTTCTCAGGTCTGGCCTCTTGCTCTTTAAGTTGTCTATCAGCTCATCAGTGGTTTTTTCTTCATTGTCCTCCTCCACCAACTCTTCCCCATCCTCCCCACTAACCTCCAACCCCAAGGGTTTCCAATGCCCAAAATTCCTCAATGGCATAATCTCTCGGGGAGCCCCAAACCCTTCAAAAACCCCTTTTTTCTACACATTCTGGCCACAGTTTCTTCCCAAACAGAGTTTAAGGTCTTTTAGTACTCCCTCCCCCCTTACCCATAAGGTTTACACAATTGGGTTTAAAGTGCTCTCTCCAAAAACCCCTTAGAGTCAGTTGAGTTTCTGAGGTCACTACAAACACCTTTTAAACAAGCTTTTGTGTACGTTTTTTTAAGTTTGCAATACCTCTGGCCATGGCTGCAGGGGAAAGGGTGGGATTAGGAGGCAAAAATTCCCCCCTTTAAAGAAGCTCATGTCCCCAAAAGTCGCTCTGCCACGTCGTAGGATACCAGGGGGATTGTCAACACCCGGGCACTTAAATTTCTAATTTTTTTTCAGTTTGGTAATCTTTACTTGGGGGCAAATGCATGGTGTAACCATTATAGAAAAAATCCCTAGTGACCCATGCCTTATGTTTGCCCTCCACAGCACACACAAATTCTCCTTGAGGGGATCTTTTGCCTGAACGCTTTGGATTTTCAGAGTGATACAAATAAAAGGGTTAACTTTTCAATCACCATAGCATTGGAACACTCAAAAAAGTAAGCCCGTCTTTTATAGGCTTATGTCCCGGGATGCCTTTTTCCTCCGAGTAAGTAGGTCCTCTTGGCATTTTCTTCCCAAAACGGCCTGTTTTCATCACAATTTTAAAACTTGTTCAGGTTTCAGTCCTTCAGTCCATGCACATATTTTTCACCGCTTTGGGGTCCAACTGGCAGCCTCACCATGCCTTATCACACTAGTATGCCATACCTTTTAAATCTCTCAAACCCCAAATTTGCTGGGCCTTAAATTTACTCACACACACTAGTTGCAGGCATTTTTTTAATTTAAACCTGAGCAACTTCCCAGCCTTTTCGCTTATGATCGCTTGGAGATTCTATTCCTGCTAGCTATTTTATTTACCACACCAAAAAGTCCCCCTTTAACATCTTCCATCACTTGCGACTTTGTTTTGAAAACACAGTTAAACCTTTGGGAAAACACTTCCTTATTGCCTTTTGGTCCCACAATAGTAGCGATTTATTGGGGTTTTTTTGTACAACCCCACCCGGTCGGCGATACGCACTCCACTTTCATATTTCAATGATCTCTTTCTTCATTTTTATTGAATTTCACCCTTTTGGAGTAGGGTTTTCACAGAAGCTTTCTTTTGGGGGCCCCTGGGCACTTATTTTCCGAAACAGCACCGAAAAACACTGTAATAATACGAAATATTCCGATTGGGATGCTTGGATGTTACCCCCGGAGGCGGGTGGTAAACAAAGCCACGGGCGGCACATGTAGGGGGCTGAGGGGGCCCCATTGGGCGGTCTCGGACGAAAATCGG